AGTTCATCAGGCACACTTTTTTCAGGTCATTTAGATTTTGAAATTCCAGGATTTTGCTTCGCCCTTATGTTATTTTTATTAATGCTATATTATAAGTTCAAAATGCTTTATTGATAACAATATATGTATAACATTGTTACATTTTGTACTATAGACACATAAGTAATATAGGTGTTTTATTTAATAAAGAGTGATTTTATGTGCACCGTTGAACTCTAAAGACATTAACAATCTAACGCAATTCTTTATTAGAACGAATATTTAGAAAACAAATTTAATAAGACTGTCGGCAAGTGATATTAAATAAAACACTTCTTAAAAGGAAAACAATAAGTTCTGACATCATGGAAATCAGACTAATCTGCAGCACCAGAGAACATTGCGTTATTATACATGAAAATAGTTTCCAGTTTTCTTTTCGAAAAGGATAATGCATTTTTAACCATTGCGGGACGGGAAACAATAATGGATATTTTGTTCACATCAAAATGAATATATAAAGTAATTCAAATTCTATTACATCTGTACTGTTGCCTTTACAAGCTGTATATTAACTAGTGGACCTATCAAATACTTAGTTAAGTTCTTCATGGGAACACAGAGCTGCAGAAACATTCATTTTGCAAAAATGCAAGATTATTCTACAAGTAGGGATTACCATATAAGGCAATCTATAATTTTGACGTATTCCGAGATGAAGGATTTCTGTGCTTACAATACATTCTTTCATCGTCCAGAATATGGTAGATAACTTTAAGATATAATGATTTGGTAGCCATTGCAAGACTCTAAACTTACATCAGTGTTCGTAAATATCAATGTCTTCTGACCATTATTTGGTATCCGTCTGTCTCTTTCTCGCTATATATATATATCTATATCTATATCTATCTATATGTCTATCTATCTATCTATCTATATCTATCTATCTATCTATATATAGTATATATCTTAGAAACTTATCATATTGAATGCTAAGCAGGAATGGGTTTAACTCATTAGAAAGGATATGCAACAGATTTCATCTGTTACAAACATTTGTAGATACACTGAGGGTTTTATTAAATGCCATTTAGAGAAACCCATGCCTTTATGGAGCCGCCAAAGCATGCACAATCTCCTTTTGATACGTAGGTTCCAAGGAATCACGATATTTTCACCGCAAAGCAAATTCTTTCGTCATTCCAAAACAATTGGTGAGACTGGTCAGACCAATCTACTCGCTTCACTTTATCAAATGTCCAGTACCCAAATTACTGAGTCCATAAGAGCAGTATACTTGTGGGTCATGCATTTATCAGGAGAGCTTTCTTTAGATATTGGCTACTAATGACCCTACAATGGAGAGAATATTCCTCATTCAGATGTTTAATAAGCCTCTCTCCGCACTGAATTCTGATTTTACCTGAGAAGGTGTATTTCTGTCATGTAAAATTATCCTTGTCATTTAATGTTAAGCATGTATACCCAGAGTTCTTTTAGGGCCACATATTTTCATCAGTTCTGAGATTTGCCAGAATACTAGTAATACTGAGACCCACCAGCAGCTGAACGGTTAAGTCTTTGAACACTGGTAATTCGATTCCTGGAAAACGGGTTGGTTGCATGAGCGCCTTCGTGGTTTTTCCCATGCGTAACATCTATACGAACCAGCTTTCCTTAGAAATTCCTTCATGAAGGCATCCCTTCTCTTAAAGCTTTTACAGGAAAGTCACCCGTATCACCATGCCTCAGACATGGGAAGATCGTCCAAACGCCTGTGCCCATTTTCTACCTGTTGCTTTTTCCCATCACGCTATTGCAGGGCTCATTATTTGAAGAGTTAATAAATGACTCTGTTTCAAGAGTTAATAAATGGCATGCCAAATATTCTTTTGAAGTGACTAAAGAAGCTCTCTAATTTGAATGTACCTTCTCTCTTCTTTATTTAGCTTCAACGTTAACTATTGACGCTCGCATTTGCAGTCCTGTCCTAAGGGGAAACTGCACGCAGTGCATAAAACCGCACAAAATTCCAAAGAGAGAAGTAATAACTTCATTTAAGTATTGTTAAAAATGCAGCATTCTACTTGGAAGATGGGAAGTAAATCCATTCCAGGAGAAATTCGTATACACGGGTGTTTTAGGTTTTTGAGGGGAACAAATATTGGCCTATATCAATGCGAAAAAATTCAGCAGATAGCCCTAGTGCATTTTGCCATATAAGATAAAGCAAAGCTAAACCAAAATATTCTGCTGTTGAAGCAGTTCTGATGACTATTATTTTATGTATGCACTGACGGAATCTTTCAGTGATGGACATATCCAACATTAGCGCGTATTCTGCATGGGCTCTTCTGTATCAGTTAGTTCGACAAGGCCCTTCAGTATATACACTCCTGGCATTAAAATTGCAACACCATGAAAGAAATCAAATAAAAAAGATATTTATTGTACGTAAACAGTATGGCAGGAGGACAAAATGATTAAATTTGTAAGCAATTTGGGGTTTACATAGGCGCGAAATTAGTAGTAGAAACAGCTGACACCCCTGGCAGCAAAAACGGCCCTTACCCGGTTAGTCATGAAGTCGAACAGGTCTTACCCAGTTAGTCATGAAGTCGAAAAACGGGCACTCATTTCCTGTTGCTTCAAGTCCATGCCACACTTCCTTAACCATATTAGCTAGAGACGAGTGGCGAGCCAGTCTCTTAACGACCCATGACCAGATGTTTCCAATGGGTGACACAACTGGCGACTGTACAGGCAAAGGCAGCAATCGAATACCCTGTGTATCGAGGAAGGTCAGAACACGACATGCAACATGCGTTATATTGTTGGAACAGGGCGTTTGCCAGGACTTCAGGATATATGGCGCAACCACTGGTCGTAAGACGTCAGAAATGTATCGATCTGCTTTCAAATTACCGTCGATCCTACCTATAGATGTGCGTGTCGTGCACCCAATGGCTGCCCAATCCATCACAGCAGGTGCAGGGCCACTATGCCTATATCGAATGCAAGCAGGTGACGTGAGGTCTTCTCGGAGTCTTCAGACACGTATACGGCCGTCAGAATACTGCACGCAGAACCGGGACTTTGCGACAACTGAAATAAATCTGTATGCGGATTATTGTACACAAAAAATCAGAAAAATAATCGGGTGTACTAATTGCTGTGCTAACTAATATATTATCTGTAAATAAAATATTTCTATATATTTATATTTCTATGTACTCTTTATAGCAAAAGGTTTGTTTTAAAATAATGCTTTAATATTTGGATTAAAAACAACTTTTTTGGGAAAAATTTGCGTAAATATTTATACATTTTATTTTCTGTGTTTTTGAAATGTAAGCTATCGAAAATGAAAAAAAAATTACTTTTTCCGATGGAAATATTTAAATGTTTGTTCATTATTTGACTACATACCTGCAAAGTCTCCATATTCTTTAAAATAAACTGTAGTTGTCATAATTTGCGTTATTTCAATTTCTTTTTCACAAATATATTATATAATATAGAGAAATATGCAGATATCTTATCAAGGGGTCAAAATAACACCCGCCGTAATTCTAGGTATACGAAGACCACAGTAAATCTAGTGTTAAATTTTGACATCAGAATTTCAGGAAAGGTGACAAAATTATTTTAGACGATTATTCACTTAAACGTAGAGCAAATTAGAATCGTTTAGAGTCAGTTTTGTTTAAATGAAATGTTTCCAAAATGTCGAAATAGATAAAAAAATAAGGAACGGACGTCAATAAGCTTAAAATTGACTATTGAAGTTAAATGTATTTGAGATGTAATGTGAAATCCTTACTTTGGTATAAAAAAAATAAAGTAAATAATAAACTGAATAGAATAGACTGAAAATGAGAAGCCTGTATATAATTAGCTATTCCTTATATCCGTTGAAATCTTGTCGCAGAAGACTGCAGAAAAAATTAGAAGTGATAGGATGTATTGAGTTGAGTAGTAGGATTGTAATTTTATTAAATGGAAAACAAAAACACGAGAACTGAATTGGGTAAATGCTGCCTACAAATGTGAAAAATTAAACTGGGGGGGGGAAGTATTATTATAGTGATTAAAATCTTAATTTTATTACATAAATTAAATTGCTTAAAATGTGAAAAATAAAAAATAAAATTAAATATTTAATTTAAATTAAATATTTTGGAAGTCTGGAATTTTGGGAAAACTTATTGTCAGATTAATTTCTAAATATTTAACTATGTAAATTCATTTATAAATATTTAATGGTGTACTAAAGCTTATTATTTTCTGAAAGCCAAATGACGTTAAAGTCAGTCGTTTTTCAGAGAAATGCTATTCAGGTGCAGATTATTTGTTCAGTCGGCCTTAAACATAACACATTTCTTATAATTATTACTATCTCTTGCAGTGAATTAATGTTTGCGAAGAACTTATCAGCTTTATATATGAGTTTAGCTAAATAAAGTGAGTTAGTATTAATAAAATTCAATATTTTCGGACTGGTATTTAAAGTTTCATGTCTTACTTATTATTGAGAAACAAATAAAATTAGATTCCTTATTCAAGAAAACATTTTTTTCATTCCAAAACATTAATTTATTTGCCTTAAATATACGAGGTTTATATGAAACTGTCACCCTGTATTGGGAAAAAAAAAAAAAGTTTGGTGTTGATAAGGCTGGGGAGCACTGTTTGATATTAAAGACTGTAGAAATGAAATTGAGAGATTTTAATTCTTTGCCTTATAACCTAAAACATTTTTTAAAAAATATATAAAGCATGTTTCATGCTATTTTTCCTTTAACAAGTTATCTGTCGCAAAATGGTCAAATATTACCCGCGCAAAAATGTTCCGAAAAAGACCTTCTAGTGTTTCAGATTTCGAAGCATGCTGAGACGGTTTATTTAGCAAGCAATCTTAGCCTTGGGAGTCTTAAATTAACAATTACGAAATTTAAAATTAATAATCTATTTCTCATTTATTTGTTTTTTAATTAAAAGGAGTTTTTGATTTTCAGCTCTTTGCACTGCGACGATTAATGCAAGGTGATGAACGTAATCCAAAGGCTCCTCTTGCAGATAATTTCAGACCAACAATGGATTTAAATCAAAGGACTATCAGAACTAATATTGACTTCAAGCGAATACCGGTAAGACTTTCCTCTCTCTCTGGTTAGACCTCTGGTTATTTATGGTTTTTATTTATTTACTTTGTTATATTTTAAAATGCCTAATTAAAGCCACGTTCTCTGAATCCTGACGGCTGACCTTTTTACTTTTTAATTTAACTTTAAAGGCTTGCGAGTTAAAGCCTCACGCAAATTATCACTTATTTATCACTCACTATGAAACGCCGCTGCCCAGACGGGGTAGTGGTTAGTGCCATAGATTCTTGTACCGAAGGACCTGGTTTCGAATCCCAGAGAGGATATGGTTGGTTGGTTTAAATTATAACACCTTTGCAGCATGCGAACATTCTAAATATACGGCGAGGCAAAAGTCCTTTTATGCGGTTTCGTGGTAGGAGAGAGGGTGGGAAACCCTTGAACCCCTCCCGGCATGCTCTCCCTCAACATCGGGATGGAAGTAGAAGTCCAACCTCCTTGAGGCTCAGGCAATCATTATTCCATGAAATATGGACTCGATAACAAACAAACTATATAACGCCAACTAAAATTCAAAGGTAAAATACAATGCCCTCCAAAAGTTAAGGAACAGCATGTTTTTTGGGTCTAATTTGAGAATGAAGCAACATAGAAACAAGAAATTACATATCATGTTCACTAAACAGTTCTTTCCTGAATGCGACATAAGATGTTTCTAAAGTTCAAAACAAACATAATTGCAACAAGAAATTGCTCTCTTGGCAGAGAAATCCAATCTTGGAGAAACACTATATCACAGTTTATTGAAGAAAAATAGGGTGTTAACGTTATAAAAATGGGTTCTAATAAAGAATTAGTCCGCGCCTAGCTGCAATACATTGGCAGCAGCGACGTTCCATGCTGTCAATTAAGCCATTGACGGTCAGTGAATTGGGAAGCAACGACCAGACACGTAGTAATCCTTGTTGAAGCTCATCTAACGACTTTGGAGGAGGACTTAAAACAACAACCTGTCTCCCAAGGTCGTCCCAAAGGTGCTGTAGCAGATTCAGATCTGGGGATTGAGCTGGCCATTCCATCCGCTCCATACCGTGACCCTCAAGATATTCTTCTGGACCTGAGCTCGGTGCGGTCGCGCATTGCCGTCCATCAGAACCAATCCAGGACCATTAGCAGCGGCAAATGGGTGGACATATTCATCAATTATCTCTCGATATCTCTCAGCGGTCAAAGTTCCTCCATGAAACACATGCAGGTCAGTGTGATAATCGAGAGAAATTTCAGTCCAAACCATCATTCCAACACGTCTGTAACTGTGTCTTTCCACAGCTTGGGATTGATTATATCTAGTGCGCTGTTGCCTCCAGATCAGCTGACGACCTGAGTCTTTCTCTAATGTGAAACTGGAATCGTCCGTGAAGAGAACAGACGCCCATTGTTGAGTGGTCAAGAAGACGTGTTCTCTTGCTGAATATACACAGCCACCTCTGCGTCCTCGAGTCAATGGGGCACAAACAACTGGTCTTCTTACATACAGTCTGTACCTGTATTGTGAAGGCGTCTGTGCACTACAGTAGCTGAGATTCTTGTTCTTGTTGCCACTAAATGCTCTACCATGAGCTGAGGCATAGTAATGTTACTCCTCCTTCGGGCCTAAAGAGCTAAATAACGGTTTCCCACGCGTGTTGTAACTCTAAGTCTGCCTGGAACGTGTCTTCTAGACACAAAATTCTAGGATTCAAACTGATTCCATAGTCGGTGACCACATTACGGTATACATTGAAACATCTAATAGCTTCAGCTTATGACATCTTCATTTATATCCATCCCGTCGTCCGGCACCTCAATGAATCGGGCAAACGATTTTTGGACATTGATAGACTCTCCTGGATATTGTCCAAGAAACTGTTATAACAACTGAAGGTTAATGCTCCTGAATAAAAATTACAATTTTTGCGCTTTTTCTCCAACTCTTATATAAGTATTCATTTCTATAAAATAAAAGTGGTAGCTATTGTTTTTGGGTATATTTTCTTAAACTTTCACTGTCATGCATATAAACTATGAATTTAAACGTTATTGACATTTTTGTAATGGTAAGTTTTGAAAAACTGTTCCTTAGCTTTTGGAGGGTAGTGTATAAGATAGAGTTTTACTCTCCACTACTTGTGCTAATGCAACTAAAAATAGCACGAAACACTTCGACTCCATGTCGGCAAGTCGATAGAACAACGTCTTGCTTATGAACTGTTAAACTGTATTAAACTTCAAACAAAACCCGATTCGAAGTTTCATGACATCGGTTTAAATTACGGCGAATGGATTGACATATTTAGAGTTTTTGTGGTTGCATCCGTTTGTCACTTAAATATTGCTCGTTTCCTTTAGAAAATGCTGTAAAATGTTCACTTGCTTAACTTATTTTTGTACTAATTTTGTATTTCATTGATTCGTTAATCAAAATGTAAGCTATATCTGGATTTATTTTAATCGCTTATAATACGCTAAAATGTTACAGCGTTTTCCTAATAATCCTGCAATACATAATTTAGACTGCGTCCTTCCCCCTCCTCCAGACTCATTATTTGACGAAACAACTGAGAACTCACTATAAGATGTGTTACTTAATTCAGTGTTTGACTTGGTTGATCAGGCGAGATTTTTTTCCCAATTACTTTGTCAACTGGAATTTCCTTTGCACTTTTGTAGCCTTTCCAAATCTCAGAAATCATATTTTTCTGGTTAGTAACCTCTTGGGTAATAGTTGTTAATTTGAAATGCCTGCTTTACAATTCTGAAACAGCGTTCAGACCTTATTGTATTTGTTTATTCCACCAAATAAGGACAACTTTTTAATTAAAAAGCCTAATGAATAAGTAATAATGCGTTTAGTAAGTAAGGAAAATAAATTTTTTGCTGCCTGAAAAAAAAGAGAAACAATAATCTCTCCCCTTCCTCTCCCTCCAAAAAATAACAGTATAACAGTTTGCATTTAAGTGAATATATATAAGGTAACAGAAATGAAGCGTAAAGAATTTAATTACAATTAACCTCAAAGAGCACGCGACACTTTTCGCAAAGCGAACGCTGTATGAAGATTCTTTTAACCTAACAGGGTTATAGGTTAATATGACTTCGAAAATATGACTTCCTTTTCGCTGTCAGCCGCAATGCAAAAGGCATGGGTTCAATTGCAATACATCTATTAGATTCATATATGGCATTTATTTTATGAAATTGAAAATACATCGTGAGCATGCATTTTTTTAACTTGCAACACAACATACTTAAGACAGAAATGAAAATTAAAATTATCAAAACGTAAACTACATCAATAAAGCAAAATTTGTCACTAAATCGGCTAAATAAAAGAAATCCGATGGATTAAATGTGAAACAAAATGCTTAATTAAAACAATTTAATAGTAAATTATGTTTTTAATTTATTTCTGGAATGTCTGAAACAGTAGCATAAAACAAAAAAGAAGCCATTGAAAAGATAAAAAGAATATGCATATTTTTGAATTTTTCGAAGTGAATGAGAGAACGTTTGCTGTTGGTGATTTAAAATTGTGTTTTATTTCTTAATTTTTGCTACATCAACAGTAATTTAGCAGTTAATTTACAGCTTTCTTATTGAAAGTGTATAGTCAAGCACATTCCTTCCCAAATCCAGTTAGAATTCAAGCAAAGAAATTAGTTCAAATAAAGCAGATAACAAATTCGTTAGAAAACTGATTAAATGTTTATTACAAAGGACTGAAATTATTGGAAATACGACAATATATAAAAAAAATTAAAATACGTTTGTTCATTTAGAAGCACATAAAATTACACAAAATTAATTGCTAAATCAATTTGAATACGAAATACAAAATGCTCTAATCTACAATATGCCAATGCAGTGCTGTTTCAGTGATTTCACGAAATTTTAAAATTTTATGAGAAAGCTTGCCATTGGGGACCTAACTGATCTAAAAATTCTCCACTGGAGATCGAAACTGTATTTTCAATATTTTGTTTCTCCGATTATCTGTGAAATATTAAATATTAGCAGCTAATTTTTACTGTTTTGTTTTTCTAGATGAGTAGATGAGTAGATTCGTTCTGATAAAAATTCATAGTTCAAAATTCAAGACATTCTTTGTTAGGCAGATGGCCCCAGAGAGCTTTGCCAAATTCGAATAGTTTAGTCATTGAAGCAATTAGCACTATTTCATACAAGCATTTATTTTTTATTTATACATATTTTCCAGCTTTGTAGGTAATATTAAATAAGATAAGTGTACACTTAATTTTAAAATTTAAAGTTATTCAATAATTGCATAAACCGCACTTCACTGAGGAAACATTTTCAGGTATTCGGAATTCCGCTTACGACATCACAATTAAGAAGTCAATAAAAAAGGTACATTCTAAGCACAGCACAATGTGTAATACTAATAAATATGAAGATTAAATTTGATAATTGATCGCATTATACTCTCACTATTAGCTTTCTAAATACTAACAGCATGAAAATTTAATATTTGAAATAAACCCAAAACAGTAACAAGAAGATAAACATCCGCCGTCTTTTATTTTCCAAACGTGCTTTAATTAATTTTAATTCTTTAGAGAAAATGCGATATTAACTGCCATTACTTCATCCATACATTAGCAAAAATGTGTGTATAAATAATTGAAATAATTGGTATATGACATTATTAGGACTAAGTTAATGTGAAAGTTCTCATTATGCAATTATGTATATAGTACTATTTCAAGTGTTATGACATTTACGAAAAAGCAAAAGTAACAGGAAAGTTCTTTGTTACTTCAAGTAGTATGTAATTAAAAGTACGTAATATGTAATGAAATGTACACTATTAAAATACGTACAGTGTCTGAAGGTATCATTAACATATTAGTGTGTAGGCCTGCGTTAGTCGTCCATTCAATACTTACTGATACGTTTTTGGGTATACTGCAGAAAGATTTAAAATAAAATATGTATGCAGTATAGTACTGATCTTAGTAATTTTTCGTCGTTATTTAATATTTCAG